CCCTGGAGAGGTCAGGCTTTGGGTTCCGCACAAATACTCATCCAAGGCCGCACGCTGCCCTGTGGGGGGCCCAGAGGCTGGAGATGAGGGCCGCTTGTCCCCTGGAGAAGTCAGGCTTGGCCTTTCACACAAATACTCATCCTGGGCCACATACTGCAATGTGGGGGGCCCAGAGGCTCGAGACAAGGGGCACCTGTCCCTGGGTGAGGTCAGCCTTTGGCTTCCCAACAAATACTCATCCAAGGCCACACACTGTCCTGTGGGGGGCCCAGGGGCTGGAGATGAGGGCCATCTGTCACCTGGAGAGGTCAGGCTTGGACTTTCACACAAATACTCATCCAAGGCCACACACTGCCCTGTAGGGGGCCCAGAGGCTCAACACAAGGGCCGCCTGTCCCCTGGCGAGGTCAGGCTTTGCACTTGAGAGAAATACTCATCCAGTAGCTCACCCGGGAGCTCTGTGCACTGGCCCATGGAGACCCACCCATCAGGGGCCCCCCTTTACTGTGCTGCCATTTCAAACACAGCTCCAGGGACTCTGCAGGGTCTCCTCTAGGACCCAGGGCCATATGTCACCATATGTCATCCTCCATATATCTGGAGGATATAGAGAGTCAAGATGATGAGATCTGCCTTTCCCCCAGCAAGGTCAGGCTTTTCATTCCATGGAAATACTCATCCAGGAGCTCCATGCCACTGCTCCACATGGACCCTCCCATCAGGGACCTCCGTTTCAAACATGACTCCATTTCAAACACAGCTCCATGGACTCTGCAGGGTCCTCTCCAGGACCCAGGGCCATATGCCACCCGCTGGGGGACACAGAGGCTCAGGATGTTGAGGGCTGCCTTTCCCCCGGTGAGGTCAGGCCTTCCATTCCATGGAAATGCTCATCCAGGAGCTCTATGCCACTGCTCCACATGGACCCTCCCATCAGGTACCCGAGTGCCCTGCGCTGCCATTTTGAACACGGCTCCTGGGACTCTGTCAGTTCTGCATCATCCGTGAACAGCCCTGGAACTACAAGACGGACCCTGCCCAGCAAGCCCAGCGGGACCCTAACACTAGATCCTGCCTGGGCTTATGACAGAGAGGAGGCACTTCAAGAGAAACCCCAGCAACAAGGTTTCCCCTGCATGCGACTCCCCTCGCAATAAGAACAACATAGCATGGAAGGAGCCCAGAGGCTCTCTGCTCAGCTGCCTGGAAGACTCAGATGGCTGCTGGACTTTTTTTTATACTGCTCTTTTATGTTTATTTTATGTTTTTGGCTTCTGGGCCTTGGGAAAAACAACTCAATGGGGAACTTGGCCCCATCAAGGCCTCTGGAGGGAAGGCTGAGCATGGGATTCTGGCAGCCCCCGCCAGCCAGCAGCATGCCCTGCGACCTCTGACCCCACCTGTGGGTCAGAGCCCCTCCCCCAGGGCCCAAGTCCCAGGCCCAGAGGGACCTGGCTTCAACCCAAGCCCTAGGTGGAGAGGGGCACAGCGGGTCCCCAGGTCACCACGCAGGGGACCAGGGCACTGCGAGCCCTGGGTGCTGCGAGGATTCACATCAGAGAAACTGGGCAAGCCGGACCAGAGATGCTGAGCTGTGCAGTGATGATATGGGTGGCTGGCATAGGAGTCAACAGGTGTCAACACTGCTGCCTCTTCCTGACTTCATCACTGCAGTGCAGGCAGTCAGCACCCTGGAGCCTGGCACAGCAGCCGACCGAGTGCCCTGGTTTGCTATGCCAACATGCCACTTGGAAGCATCGAGGCCCTGCCTGCTACAACATTCCCCTCCTGAAAGTCTTGTCCTGAAGCCTAGCCACTGCCGCAGCCACAGGAGGTACCACTGCCAAGCACCTTCCAGCAGGGCTTCCCAGAGGGTGGGGTGCCTCAGCAGCTCACACTGGGAAGGTGGTTTCATCCACATTTCCATTGTTCCCACCAAAGAGATTCCCTACAGAGGATGCTTTTGAGGTGGGCAAATTGGCACGTCAAGTGGATGGAGTCAGCTCCTTTCCCTGGCCACCACATTAGGTTGGGGACAAGTGGCCATCAGGCAGGCTTGGGACATGAGAGGCTCAGCATGCTGCATGTGGCCTGACCAAGGCTGACCAGGCCAACATCACTGCCAAGCGCCCCATCTGCTGATGAGAGACTTGCTGTCGATCTCTGGGCTGGCACTATTTCCCAGGAGGACTGGCTGGCCGCCTGTGGGTAGGATGCCACGCTGTGGAGGGGGCTGAGATGGACTTTTACTGCAGGGAGCCCCTACCTGGATACAGACTTGCCTTGCCCGTCCTTCCTGTCACCATGACGGCAGCCCATATTGCATTGCTTTTGACCAAGTCACTTCATTCACAGCGAGGGACATGCAGCAGTAACCCCAGACCAAGGAACTAACTGTTCTCACTACATCGCCCAGCGCCTGGAAGCCACTGGGCTTAGGATCACTCAGTTATGCTGAATTTTATCCTTTCTATTGGAAACCAGCAGATGGCGCTGACTCCCTCACAGCCAGAAGGTACAGGTCTGAGAGTCAAGGTGTGAAAGCAGACAGTGTTCAGTATTGCACGTCATCTCTCAGTCATAGAGTTTTCTATTCCTGTCCTGGAGAAATGGAGCTTTGCTGGTTGGAAGGTCTTAGGACCCAGGCAGAGTGAAGCTTCCTCCAGGGGAACACAACAATGTTTCTATTTAATGTGAAGAGACTGGACTAAGTCTGAAATTCGGGGCACTCTCTGGTGTTCTTGATGTTTCCATGTAAAGAAAGTCAAATAACTTGCCACAAAGGTTTGCCACAGAGGCATCTGAAAAAACAGGGGCAGAACTCCTCAGAACTCAGAGGCTTCAGAGTCAAACATGAGGCCAAGCAGGAAAACTGTGACCCGCTGAGGGTGGGGGAAGTATGGAGGCCACTGGGAGAGGACATCATAGAGGTCCACCCTGGCCTTGTGATCTGTCACAGAACCATGCACTAGAACAGCTGTGCACATTTTCTCTCCACTGATTATAGTATGTCTTTCCATTAGCGACCCTCCAATCACATAGAGAGCTTGCTACAAAACACACATTGCTATACCACAGCCTGGGTCTTGCAATCCAAGCCTGGAAAGGATTCCTTCATGTCAAGGAATAAAGGAATGGCTGTCCTGAATCCTGGATGCCCAAAAAAGGAGGAATGGGGTCAACCAGCAGCAGGCCAGTCACGGAAAGGGATCAAATGTGAGTGCATGGCCTTCCTGACACCCAGGCAAGACTTTGGTCACAAAGCCTGGCTGCCGCTCTGGCCACTGACTCGGACCAGGGACGCCCCTACGCAGGCCGGTCTGCCCTGCCTGCTCTTCTCCCTCCTACCACCCTCTCTTCGGCTGATTGTGTTAGGAAGGGAGAACCTGCCGGTTTTCAGAAGAAAATATAGCTTTGTTATGACATAGGAAAGACTGCAAGTTATTAGGAGAGGAGGAGGAGTCAAACAGCTCCCGAAAATCAGAGGGAAAAGGAAGGTGTAAATACGTTGGTAATAAAATCTCCAACTACAGCACAGTCATTGGAACGTTTTTGTTACAATTTTTGTTTTCAAGGACATAGTAAATAAAACAGTCACTTGAACTGCCAAAAGAACCCCCATTTTGCACAATGAAAAGGATACACACTAAGCCAGAATACAACAGCACTCAGGTCTATATGTTTTAGTGGTGCTAGTGCAGGAGGAAATGTCCAGGGAGGTTGCAGTGCCCACCAGGGAGCCCAGACCCATGGAGAGGCCTGGGGCTGGAGGTAGGCTGCAAACCACTCAGCCCAAAGCACTTCCTTCAGGCATCTGAAGGGTGAAAGCCCAGGTCTTCCTGTGAAGCACGGAAAGGACAGCCAGTGTCTCTGAAATTGCAGGTGATTTTTAATACACTGGTGTGAGTGAGTCTGGAGTTACCCAAGGGGTCCCTTAGTGGTCGGATGCACTATGAAACTGAAGCAGGAGCAGCAAGAAACAAACCTCTGGAACACCAAACTGAGGAAGGAAGTGACTTTTATTCAGTAGGGAGCTGCAAGGGCTACAGCCTCATTCACTGAGCTCCCTGAGCTGCAGCTTCTGTCCCCTTTATAGCCTTACAACGCTAAAGAGGAAACCAAGGTGGAACTATGTCCTTGTCCATTTGCTGGACGTCTGACCTTACAATCTTTTGGCTTCATTGATTTGCTAATTCATATGCAGGCTGCACGGGGACCGGCACGGGGAGGAGGGCTTACAGAGACAAGCCAAAGCCAACAAGCTGTTGTTCGCAGAGGTGTTTGCAGGAGGGAGCCTGGTGCATGGAGACGTGGGGGTGTGACCCAGTGCCTGGCTCCAGCCAGCAGGGATAACATTCATTTGCAGCTCTTTCAAAGTTAACAGCAGAGGGAGTTCTTTTCCTCACTCTTTGTATTTTTATTTTTTACCTTCTTCACCCTCCTTCCCATCTGGAAGGGGGGAAGGGAGGAGGTGAAATAGAAGGAGGCAAGGGGATCTCCCCTCTCAAAACAATCAACATCTACATTCCTGAGCTACAGTTCAGAGACCGGGCTGCTGGGGATGACTGTGTGGGCACTCCCTGGGGCCTCACTCTCTGCTGGGGGCTCTTCTTATGAATGTCCTGATCAGAAAGACTCACTGGAAACCTTTCTGATGGAGGCTGTGTGCCAGGTACTCACACAGAGCATATCATTTAATCCTCACAAAAACACTGAGAGATAAAACCGCTACTCAGATTTATAGAGGTAAAAACCAAGGCTCAGAGAGGTTAAATAACTCCCTTGAAGATCACAACTAGTCAGAGGGTAAGTTGTTCTTGAGAAAAATAAACAGGAAAAATATTTCCCTGAATTTCACAGCAGATTAGGAGCTAAAGGAAGAGATTCCCAAGCCCATCATGGAAATGTTTGTTCTAACAAAGTAAATTCACAAGAGCACATCAAACACCAGACCTAATGCAAGGGGCAGTGCCCAGGGCCACTGACTGCCTCAGGTGAGTTCTTTAGCAGCAGTCACAGGGCAATGCTTAGAATGGCAATACCACAGTGAAGAAGGGGGATTAGATACAAAAGTTTAGAATAATGCCCACCAAAAATGCACGTGGTTCCATCTCTCTCCCCAGTTCTGATTTTCTCAGAGCGGTAGCAACCCCTGAACACGAGGGGAAACAGGAAAGGGCCCAGGGGACTGGGGGTTTATTTCTGGGTTCTCTATTCTTTTGCTTAGGTCTATGTCTCTGTTTTTATGCCAGTACATTGCTGTTTTGATTACTATGGCTCTGTAGTATAATTTGAAGTCAAGTAATGTGACTCCTCCAATTTCGTTCTTTTTGCTTAGGGTAGCTTTGGCTATTCTGGGTCTTTGTGGTTCCATTTGGATTATTTTTTTCTATTTCTGTGAAGAATGTCGTTGGTGTTTTGATAGGGATTGCATTGAATCTAGATTGCTTTTGGCAGTGAAAACATTTTAAGAATATTGATTTTTTGAATCTATGAACATGGAATATATGTCAATTGGGTGTGTTCTCTTCAATTTCCTGCATCAGTGCTTTATAATTTTCATTGTAGAGATCTTTCACTTCTTTAAGTTTATTCTTAAGTGTTTTGTTTTTACTTGTAGCTACTGTAAATGGGATTTCTTTCTTAATTTCTTTTTTAGATTGTTCACTGTCGGCATATAGAAATACTACTGATTTTTGCATGTCAAGCAGGAGCCCTTCTCAACACCTAGAGACCACTTGCCAGTCTCTGCCATACGGCCCTTTTCACACACATTGATTTTTGAAGGCCAGCAGGGGAAAATGTCTTGCTTTAAATCTTTCTGGCTTCTATATAGGTCATTTCTAAGGTAATCTCTGTCTTGGTTAACTAAAAGTTGACTGACTATAACCTTTGTATTTCTGCCAAATCACTTCTGTTAGAAGATTTAACACATAGGAATAAGATTCAACCTTGATATTCTGGCTATCGCATGAAGGAACAAAGATAAGAGTAACAGCAAACAAATTATTAAAGTGATGAAGCCAAGAGACAATGCAGTCACATCTTTTAAAGAACTGAGAAGGAAACAAAACTGGCATAGAATTCTATGTCCAATGAAAATATTTTTCAAAAATTAGGGTAATATTTTTAAATATATAAATATTAATATAATTTATTGCCAAGACACTTGTGCAATAAGACATTTCTAAACAGCACATTCAGGAAGATACCTACCATATCAGATAAAAACATGGATTATCACAAATAAATTAAATGTGCTTTAAATAGTAAAAATGTGATCATTTATAAAATGTTCTTTTTGATACGATGGGACATTCCAAAATATATATATTTTAATATTTAAACTCTTTAACATCTAAAAAACATAAATGGAAGAATCCTGCTTCAGACCAAGATGGAATAATGGATTATTCACCTGATACAATATGATATGATGTGTGGAAAATGTGTAGCACTGTTTTCTAAAACCTGAATATCAGGCAACAAAACTCAGTCATCCATGATAGACAGGGAACATAAGATATCAGCTCTCTGATTTCCATTGTCATGGCCTTGAGAGAGTATCTATAGTGCAATGTAAGGATTAAGATGTAGCCCATCAGATTCCCTGATTTGATGAGAAAGAGCTGAGAATCTGGTTAGATCGAGACGGCTGGAGTTCACAGGACAGAGTACCACAGTAAGAAGAGTTAAATACAGAGATTGTCAGGAATCTGTAGTGTCCTCACTGTACATTTGGATTTCTGATCAGTAGGAGGTTCATGGGAGGAGAAGAGAACCCCCTGAAGAGAACAAGGGTAACAGCACCTAATGCCCACACAGGACTGAGAAAGGGGCCTTTTCCAAAAGTCAGAATGAAGAAAATCTCATAATTCATTGAAGAGTAGTGACTAGATTTAACAAAAATGTTTTCTTTCAGCACTGGGGAATAGAAGAAAAATCACTTTTTTTATTTTCTCATATGACATTAACTAAAAGCTGTGCTATGCGTTCCCCAGGCTCAACATTGCAAGGAATGGAGGAAGACACTACAATTTGAATTTCCCCTATAAAGTCCACATCAGTAACTTCTATATGAATTCTCACTCCTTGAGCATTAAGACTAGATCTTCCTAGAATTAAGCCCATGGTTGGGGTGGGGGCAAAGGGCCACAAACTCCTGTGGAAATTTTTTTTTGCGGTGGTTCTCCCAGTAAAATGCTTCCTCTTTGAGAGCTGCACAAATCTACTGCCATGCTCCCAGGTGTGGCAGGAAACAAGCATTGTGTATGGATGAGGGGACAGCTTGCACTGGATAGTCCCCGGTTTGGATCAGGGTCCGAGGTGGGCCCCTCAACCCGTTTCCCAAAATTAGATTCCCTTCCTTGTCAAATTTTGAATGAAATTGATTTGCCCAATGCCTTTCGTTTCTTTTGAGACAGTCTCACTCTGTCGCCAGGCACCAGGCTGGAGTGCAGTGGTATAATCTAGACTCACCGCAACCTCCACCTCCTGGGTTCAAGGAATTCTCCTGCCTCAGCCTCCCGAGCAGCTGGGACTGCAGGCACGCACCACCATGCCCAGCTAATTTTTGTATTTTTAGTAAAGACGGGGTTTCACCATGTTGCCAGGATGGTCTCGATCTCTTGACCTCGTGATCCGCCCACCTCAGCCTCCCAAAGTGCTGGGATTACAGGCTTGAGCCACTGCGCCCAGCCAATGCCTTTCTTTTCTACATCAGGAACATACTCTGGGCTCAGTAGTACCCTTTTGCTTTAAAGAAGTTAAAGGCCTTATTTTTTGTCCTTGTCTACATTCCTTTCTTGTATGTAGAGAAAGGAATTTTTTTTTCCCCACAATTGTGACATGCTCCAGGAAAAACCACATCCCCTTTATTTATTTTAAGTCCAGCCATAGCTTCTGCCAGCAAAATAGCTTTATGCAAACTTCCCCCATTCCATCACACACCTTGATGTAATCCAAGTGAGCTTTCCCTTTAAGTGGCCGTAAAGCCTGGCAGTCAGAATTAGCATTGTCAAACACTAGTAAGTGTAAAACAACATCCCAAGCCTCTGTATCTGATATGGCCTTTCTTATGGCTTCTTGCAGTCGAGCTATAAAGTCAGCATATGGCTCTTTTGGTCCCTGCTTAACAGCTCCAAAAGAAGGGTTTTTTTCGCTTCCTAATGTAATTCTCTTAAATATACTTTCCTAATCTGCTCTATGACCAAATCGGCCATAGTAGCTTGTGCCTGCCAAGAATCTCATGCACCTGTTCCCGTAAGCTGTTCCATGGGAATATTAATTGGAGGTTGAACCTTAACCTTTATATTAGCTTGAATATTAGCCTTGTGAGTCCACCAGGTCTCAAACTGTAAACATTGAGAGGGCGATAAACAAGTTCGGGTTAAAGTATCCTAGTCTACTGGAATCAGCCGGTAAGAAGTGGCTACATTCTTTAATAATCCTAGCACAGAGACCCAGGCCCATATTGGCTCATGGCCTGTTTAAACACCTTCAACAATTTGAAGGGAAAGTGTTCAAAAGCAACCCATACTGCCCCTGCTGATCTTGAGGGTATACAACAACGGGAAACTGCCAGGCCTCCAAATCTCTTCTCTTGCTTGTTGAATTCCGGCTTGGATGGAGCCGGTTACCGTATTACACACGGCAACAGAAGCAGCCAATTTGATTTTTGAGGCAGCTTCCAATTCCTTTAATGGAGAAATATTAGGAGAACCTGGCCATCCCTCAACAAGATACTGAGGGGGTGCTGACAGGCACATCTTTTCCTCATTTGACTTCTCTTCCTTTTGCTCTACAATTTCTTTACATACTTCATCACACTCCCTTTCCTCTTCTGAATCCTCTTCCCCATCTTTGTCTGAAACAGCTCCAGGGCAGAACGCACCAAAGCCGAAACGGACCACCCTGGAACAGAAGTATCTTTTATTCCTTCTCTATGTACCTTCCTTAAAGTAGTACCCACTTTTTCCCATTCCTCCATGCTCAATGCTCCCTGCTCAGGAAACCAGGGACAGAATTCCTCAACTACATCCAGAAACTGTGTTAAGCTGTCAGTACTAGCTTTAATTCCCCCTCTTTTATGCAGCCGACAAGTCAAACCAGAACAAGCCTCTTGCTTGTTCGATCCTTGTCTCTTGTTACCCTAATATTACCAAGCTCCCCCAGCTCCCCCTGGGAGATTTTTTCAAGCGTTCTCGGGCTAATTCCGAGCTACCCCAACTAACCCTGGGAGATTCCCCCCCTTTTTTTTTCTCTTTTCCTCAAAAGTTCTTAGTCTACTTCTGAGTTCTCCCTAACTCACCTGGGAGATTCAAAATTTCCTGGGCCCCTTCCGAGCTCCCTGACTTACCCCAGGGATTTTTTTCCAAGAGTACTCAGGATACCTTCAGCTTAGCCTCTCCTCTCTCTGTTGCTCAGACAACTCTTCATCCTGGGTTCGAGTCCCCACACTTGGGTGACACTTACTGAGTAGCACCTTGGCCAGGAGACGCCCACCCAGGTGGCACTGAAGGAAGTGAGAGGCAAACACCCAGATAGAACAGCAAAGTGGGTCTATGTGTGGGGGGGGGGCAACAGCC